TGGAAAAAAAATGACTTGAGACTTGACTTGACTTGACAAAGAAAGACTCGTGACTTGACTTGACTTGACAAAATTGACATTAACAAAATAGTTTTGTCATAGTTCCAAACATTTTTTTGGTGCACCCACTAGTTTATTATCGGGTGATGACTGATTGAAACTTGACTGGAGAGAAGTCCGTAAATCCCACCGCGCACCGAGCTGAGCTCAGACTGACTACTCAACACGGAACCTGGCGCTTTGTGCCTGCCATGCGTGGTTTTGTGCATAGTCTGATCACCCTCCGTTAACATACATGTACATGTATCTTCAACATTGCTTCATATTGTTTAAATGCTGTGTACTTATAACATGTTGCAAAAGGTTTTAACGACTGGAACAATGACTATGATATAGTTTATGAGAGGCAAGAATTCACATCACAAAGCAAAAAATGCTTTAGAAATGGTTTGTTTAACTCCTTCAAAAAATCATTATTTTTTTCAAAAGAATTTAAAAACTGATAATGAATTCTCTAAAGACATTTTGCTCAACAAAAAATGTGTATGGAAAAAGTGCGAAAACCCATTAGCGCCACTGCAAGTATATATGTTACAGATTATGTAATTCGTTATTACGGATTATTAATTCGTTATAACGGATTATTAATTCCTTATCACGGATTATTTAAGTCGTTATTACGGATTATTAATTCGTTATTACGGATTATTAATTCGTTATTACGAATTATTAATTCGTTATAACGGATAACTAATTCGTTATTACGGATTATTAATTCGTTATTACGGATTATTAATTCGTTATTACGGATTATTAATTCGTTATTACGAATTATTAATTCGTTATAACGGATTACTAATTCGTTAATACGGATTATTAATTCGTTATTACGGATTATTTAATTCGTTATTACGGATTATTAATTCGTTATTACGGATTATTTAATTCGTTATTACGGATTATTTAATTCATTATTACGGATTATTAATTCGTTATTACGAATTAAGTCTGATGTTCTCACACGTGACCAGGGGCCTATGTATATAACGCCGCTAGGCGGCGCTATCTTTGCATACAAGGTTTGCACTCCTGTGCCATACTTGCCGAGTAATGACTCAGAACGTATGAGTAATTCGTAATAACGAATTAATAATCCGTAACAACAAATTAAATAATCCGTAATAACGAATTAAATAATCCGTAATAATGAATTAAATAATCCGTTATAACGAATTAATAATCCGTAATAACGAGTTAATAATCCGTAATAACGAATTAATAATCCATTATAATGAGTTTAATCCGTAATAACAAATTAAATAATCCGTTATAACAAATTAATAATCCGTAATAACGAGTTAATAATCCGTAATAACGAATTACATAATCCGTTATAATGAATTAGTAATCCGTGATAACGAATTAAATAATCTGTAATAACGAATTAATAATCCGTTATAACGAATTAATAATCCGTAATAACGAATTAATAATCCGTAATAACGAATTAAATAATCCGTTATAACGGATTAGTAATCCTAATAACGAATTAAATAATCCGTAATAACGAATTAATAATCCGTTATTACGAATTAGTAATCCGTAATAACGAATTAATAATCCGTAATAACGAATTAAATAATCCGCAACATATATACTTGCAGTGGCGCTAATGGGCTTTCGTAAAAAGAATGTTTTATAAGTATGAAAACTGTACTTAAATTCTCCTAACATAATGAACACTTCGGCACTTGCACATGTAAACTGGTTCCCGTACATCTTCCCGCCCTACACCGCATGTTAGCGACTATTCAGATGGGAACCACGCTACCGTTAGAGCAAACTAATGCCTCGAACACACCACATGTACATGTACGTTACCGCTCGGCTAGGCTTCGTGCGTCAACATGTCTGCCCCGACAAGTTCGCGTCCGAAGGTGGTGACCTTTGGTTTCAAAGATTTTGAAATGTCTTCAAAGAAGCGGAATATTTTGCAGAACGATGTCAATAAAGAATAATGGAGAAATGGTACATTGTGTCATTTGAATTCTGATATACGTAACTGTGTAATACATTTGAAATTGACTCGGGACTTGAGTTTTGACATGAAAATTTGGCAAGTTGGTGCTATAATTGAAAAAAAAAAATTGACTTGAAATTTGTAAAAATTTGACTTGAGACTTGACTTGATTTGGAAAAATTTGACTTGAGACTTGACTTGACTTGAAAAAATTTGACTTGTGACTTGGGAAAAAATGACTTGAGACGAGACTTGACTTGGGAAAAAATGACTTGGTTACTTGGTTACAACACTGCATAGGCATACTACAAAGTCCTATATCTACAGAACTGTTGGTCCGATTGGGTTAAAACTTGGTATGTAGGTAGACCGGGATGTGTTATAGATGAAAATTGATGTCATGATGATGTCATCGTGTGATTTTATATTAATTTTTTGAAATTTTGGACCTTTAAGCCATATCTCACGAACGCAACAGGCAAAATTAAAAATTCTTTTGGTATTATGTTTGTTGGGTAATAGGTATATTCTAAAAGTAGTGAAAATTGTGTGACATCATTATGACGTCATCAAAAATGCGATTTTTTAAAACACATACAAGAGAATGTCTGATCGTCATGAATCTTGGTAGGTGGGTAGATAATAGCACTAGTACTCAAAATCTGAAATGATGTCACAACGACGTCATTGGTATATTTTTTATGATTCTTTAAATATTGACAATTTTATTCCGCTTACAAAATTTAAAACTTTCATTCGTCTGATTGGCTTCAAACTTGGTACAGACTAAAAACTACAATTAAATAATATGCACTGCCAAGTGACATCATGATTACGTCATCACAGGGCATGTGACACCATCTTAAATGTGCAAACTTTAAGATCCTATATCTAAAGAACTGTTGTCTACGAAAGCCCATTAGCGCCACTGCAAGTATATATGTTGCGGATTATTTAATTCGTTATTACGGATAATTAATTTGTTATTACGGACTACTAATTCGTTATAATGGATTATTAATTCGTTATTACGGATTTTTTAATTTGTTATTATGGATTACTAATTCGTTATAACGGATTATTTAATTCGTTATTATGGATTATTAATTCGTTATTACGGATTATTAATTCGTTATTACGGATTATTAATTCGTTATAAAGATTAATTAATTCTTTATTACGGATTATTAATTCGTTATTACGGATTATTAATTCGTTATTACGGATTACTAATTCGTTATTACGGATTATTAATTCGTTATTACGGATTATTTAATTCGTTATTACGGATTATTAATTCATTATAACGGATTATTTAATTCGTTATTACGGATTATTAATTCGTTATTACGGATTATTTAATTCGTTATTACGGATTATTAATTCGTTATTACGGATTATTTACTTTGTTATTACGGATTATTAATTCGTTATTACAAATTAAGTCTGATGTTCTCACACGTGGAGAGCACGTGACCAGGGGCCTATGTATATAGCGCCGCTAGGCGGCGCTATCTTTGCATACAATGTTTGCTTTACACCGGCACCAAATAAAACGCTCGCACTCCTCCATACTTGCCGAGTAATGACTCAGAACGTATGAGTAATTCGTAATAACGAATTAATAATCCGTAATAACGAATTAAATAATCCGTAATAACGAATTAATAATCCGTAATAACGAATTAGTAATCCGTTGTAACGAATTAATAATCCGTAATAACGAATTAAATAATCCGTAATAACGAATTAGTAATCCGTTGCAACGAATTAATAATCCGTAATAACGAATTAAATAATCCGTAATAACAAATTAATAATCTGTAATAACGAATTAAATAATCCGTAATAACGAATTAATAATCCGTAATAACGAATTACATAATGTGTAACATATATACTTGCTGTGGCGCTAATGGGCTTTCGTAGTTGTCCAATAGGGTTGAAACTCGGTATGTAGGTAGGCCGGGATGTGTTATGTAAAAATAGCCAGGGACATGTTATTGATTAAAAAAAAAAAGCAAAATGCGGAAAAGCTTTATGTTCTGTTGCAAACAGACATAGATCTCTCGTTTTTATTTCCTCCAGAAAGATCTAAAAGGTTTCTTTATCTAGTAACTCACAAAAACCAAAAAAGAAAAGGACTCTAAGCAAAACAGTCAGTAGATATTTTGTTTTAATCCAGTAATTTTGGAAAACTACTTTAATTTTTTGTTACAATAAGACAAATTCTTTTTCTTTTGCAAGAGTGGATGCAGACTGATCCATTATAATCATTTATTTAATCATCTTGTTTTTCTTTTTTAAAAAGAACTGTTTATGTCAAGTTTGGAAAGATTATTCCTAATATTTTTTTTTTTTTTAAAAGGGGAATGTCACATCTCCACCCATCACGTCACTTGCCCAACATGGCTGATTAAAGAAGTGAAAGTTAAGAAGTAGCTGTGCGTATTCCTAACTAATCTGCATACGACATGCCGTGCGAAAAACTTTTTTTTACTCCTTGCAGTATTTCACAAGCATAATTCCTTGAATTTTTTGTAAGTTTTCTTGGAGAGTAAGCAAGAATGGGTTTATGCTTGTCATCGCTGCAGCCAGCCACACTTTATTGCAAGCTAGCATAACTGTATTTTGCTGCGTTTCGTACATACACACATCGTGTACATGCACAATGTGCTGGTTCATACTTCTCGACAAATTCCCATTGCGCCCCCCCCCCCCCCCCGAAAAACCAATCCAACATTTGCCGCTTGCCAAGGAAGTATCTTTTTGAGTAATTAAACAGAAGAGGAATATAGATGACTTATTTTACTTTCTTTAACCATACGGCTGTATGAAATGTGAATACATGTAAATTGATAAAACACCCTCTAATGCTATGGCCAGGTGTCAGAAGAAAAAAATTTTCTGAAGAAATTTTTTTTACAAAACAAAGGCCATTTCAGAAAGTGTTCAAATACACCCTAACAAATGCTCTTACCTGTTCAGATGTGTAGCACAGTTTGTTGCTCGTAGCCATATTATTTCGAATGTACTGTTTAGACAACTGAGTAAAGTCATCTACTACTACAGAAAATAAACGACGACCTCTGGGCCTGTGTTCAATAGATGGCAGGGTTACAGCAGGTGATGTTGGCAAGGGCAATAGACGCAAGTTGGGTATCTGTGTGAAAGAAAATTTCCTTAGTAATTATAACAATAACAAGGTATTATTGGTCAGTATTGGAACACTTTGTGGGGAATATAATTATATAATATTGGATGGCTTTGAGGTGGATACAGAATTTACTGAATGAGTAATGACAATTGAGAGCTTTTTTATTCACAACTATAGACCAGTGCCTTTGAATGGATTCCAGAGAAAGTGCACGTTTGCAGCAATAGGGCCACAGATTTCCCAAGTGTCCTCTGGATAAGGGCGACATGCCTCATTGGGGTGACAATTTGGTGGCGCCCTATCGTTCAAACAACCCTCAGGACAAGGAATTTTTCTGGCGCAACCCATCCAAAATCGATTCCTTGTGGTCCAACTAGCATAAATACTGAATTTTGTGGAAAAAGGATTAGGTAACTTGGATTAGGTGACAGTTTAGGTGTGTACACAAGTCTACGGTGTGTCACCCTATTATAGCATTAGTTATTATTATTATTATAATTACTATTATTATTTATATCAGGCTTCCAGCGGTAAAAATAAATCAGCGTATTGTATGCTTTCATAAAAAGTTCCCGGATGACTACAATAATAAAGTACCCGGTTGACTGCAATAACATTATTATTGCAGTCATCCGGGCATTTTCACTGGTTCCTGCTTGATCAAGAGCATAGAAAGTCACAGTTGTCAACCACTCAACAGAGCCTAGCGCGCGAGTACCGTTGAACACAGAACACGCCGCTCGCATGCAGCGTGCATGCAGTGCACAGAAGGCCAGCTGTACGCGCACTGTTGTCAACAACTGCAGCTTCAAAACATTTGATGTAAACGAAAAAGATGTACGGTAATGAAGACAGTGTCTTGAATTGCGCTTCTTGCGGATCAAGTCAGCCTAATATAAATAATAATAATAATATTGGATTGCTTGTTTTCGGTGGATACAAGAATAAATTGCCGTCGCTATGACAATATTGCACGAGTCTTCGACTCGTGCAATATTGTCATAGCTCGTGCAATATTTTCTTATATCCACCTTAAAGCCATCCAATATTATATAATTATTATATTGCACCTTCATTTCTCATTTTCTGAAATGGCCTTTTTGTTATATTTTTCTTTTTTTTCTTTTCCAGACTTTTGTCCATAGCATTTATACGCGTTTTTATCGTGCCCGAAACTTTGGGCACTTAAATCAATCCAATTGCCTTTATACTTGGCACACACTTAGACCAGCACCAGTCACTGTGTGCCGAACATTGAGGTCATCATGACGTCATCACGAGTCATGTGATGTCACAATATAGGTGCGAGTCACGATGACGTCATCACATAGCATGTGACGTCATATTAAAAGTGCATATTTTGAAGGCCTATATCTCCAGAATTACAGGTCTGATTTGGTTGAAACCTGGTTTGTACCTAAACCGGGATGTGTTATAGATGAAAATTGAAGTGATGTCACGATGAGTCACATGATGTCACGGTAAAGATTAATAGATGTAATCTTTGATAATGCATAAACAAGAGGTGACGTCATCATGATGTCATCGTGTGATTGTATACATATTTTTTAAATTTTTAGGCCATATCTCATGAAACACCATATCTCATGAACACAACATGCAAAATTCGCAATTCTTTTTGTATTAGGCTTATTAGGTAATAGATATATACACATAATTGTTTAGAATGTGTGTTGTCATGATGACGTCATCAAAAACGTGATTTTTGAAAACACTTAAAAGGGACAGTCCGATCGTCATTAAACTTGGTGGATAGCTAGATAATGGTACTAGTATGCAAAATCCGAAATGACGTCACTATGACGTCATCGGTTGATTTTTTTTAATGATTTTTTAATATTTACAATTTCATTCCGCTTCCAAAATTTCACACTTCCTTTCACTGGATTGACTTCAAACTTAGTACAAACCAAGACCACAATGCAAAAATGTGTATTGACAAGTGTTATCAAGATGACGTCATCGCAGGGCATGTGACGTCATAACATGCCAAATCCGAAGCCACGTCAACATGATAATTAATTATTTATATTTTATATCTATTAGCTATACTAGCTCAATATATTACTTTTTAAGGACTTTGAACCAACAAAAACTGCACATTTGCAAAAAAACATAAAGTCATACAAAAATGATAAGTGGAAAAGCCATTTATTTAGTTTTCAAATAGACATAGACCTCTAGTTTCTTCTTCCTTTTTGCTGCCGCAAAATCCCATAGACATTGTACAAGTCTTTTTCAGCATGCACTTTTACCATTCATCTTTGTCATACATCATTCAAATGCACCATAGGCATAGTCCTTATAGCATAGATGTCCCCCGAAGAGTGGCCTCATGGTGACTTCATCATGGGTCATGTGACGTCATGTTAAAGATTTCTAGATTTAATCTTTGAAATCAATATGAAATCAACCATAGGAGACCTGAGCTTGATTTTTGCTGGAATTGACTGAATAATATGGGATCTTTATTCTATCTCGCAAGAACCAAACCATGTGACCCTTCTTTCCAGTCCAAACCAGATGTGCCTTATAATTTAAAATTGGAAAAAGATGTGAACTTGCTTTCAACGATTTTAGTCTATGGCTAGGTTGTACTTCACAAAATCAAATTACCGGTGACATCATAACATATTAGAGCACCCTCTAGCAGCAGGTCAAAAAATGATAATAATTAGTTGATGTATGTGGTGAAATTTGCTGAAATTACTTTATAATTGATGCATATAATCAGCTTTAAGCTAAAAAAAAGTTAAGGGGGAGAAAGATTTATGACATCAAGTGACCGGAAGTTACAATAAAAAGACCTTTTAACATTGAAAATTGCTAAAAAATCAACCGTGACAGATAATTTTTTTAACCAGGGTTTCCTACGGAGATTTCACCTTATCTTTGCTTTTGGCCAGCAAACTTATGTGCTGAGTTGGAAGATGGGCGCCTCCAGAACCTGTAGTGATCAATATCCTGTTTATAAAAACTTTGTGGGAAACTTGCGTTTTTGTGACACTTTCACTCACAATGTGTTTCACTCACAATGAAAATTGAAGTGATATCATGATGACGATACCACATGACATGTGATGTCACCTTAAAGGAGCAGTTTTCTAAGGCCTATATCTACAGAACTAAATAATGGTGCTGTCGCGAGAGCTACAATCCCTGCCAAAATGGTTGGGACACTTCCTTAGCCTCTCACTGTCACCCACTCCCCTGCTCCTCTGGTCAATGTTGTTCTCTCCAGCTGATGGAGCACGCTCCGCATCATGAGAGAAAACATTGAGTGTGTGCTAGGGGGGTTGGGGGCCCATTGAGATTGTAGACAGGTTTTTCCCATTGCGGGAATTTCACTTTATAAATTTCATTTTTTTCTACCTTTTTAACTGCCCATCTCCGTTTTTTACTTGTGTGTGGACACTTTTAACATCTTCTAGGACCGGTACAGGGACGTATTTTTACATTTTCATACTGTTTTGGGATTTTTGTTACTTGTTTTTAACCTGTTGGAAATAGTGACTGTGGCGTATAGACAGTGTTGTTGACTCGAGTCGCTGACTCGGACTCGAGTTGGACTCGAGTCGCTATTTTTCAGACTTGAGACTTGACTTGACTTGGAAAAAAAATGACTTGAGACTTGGCTTGACTTGACTAAGAAAGACTCGTGACTTGACTTGACTTGACAAAATTGACATTAACAAAATAGTTTTGTCATAGTTTCAAAAAATCATTATGTTTTTCAAAAGAATTTAAAAACTGATAATGAATTCTCTAAAGACATTTTGCTCAACAATAAATGTGTATGGAAAAAGAATGTTTTATAAGTATGAAAACTGTACTTAAATTCTCCTAACATAATGAACACTTCGGCACTTGCACATGTAATCAGGTTCCCATACATCTGCCGCCCTACACTGCATATTAGCGACTATTCAGACGGGAACCATGCTACCGTTAGAGTAAACTAATGCTTCGAACACACATGTACATGTACATGTACGTACATACGTTACTGCGTGGCTAGGCTTCGTGCGTCAACGTAACATGTCTGCCCCGACAAGTTCACATCCGACTGACTCGGGACTTGAGTTTTGACATGAAAATTTGGCAAGTTGGTGGTATAATTGAAAAAAAAATTGACTTGAAACTTGTAAAAATTTGACTTAAGACTTGACTTGACTTGTAAAAATTTGACTTGAGACTTGACTCGACTTGAAAAATTTGACTTGTGACTTGACTTGACTTGGGAAAAAATTATTTCGGTTGTACATCTTGTTGATTGGATTGGGAAATGATTTCAACACAAACCCGGGCCCACCATCTCCTTCATCGACTCTGCTTGATGACCCACCTGTGCCATGTGCCATCTGTGTTGACGAAGTAGGCCATTATCCAGTCAAGGGCATATGGTTTGATGAATGTAAGAAATGGAACCATGCTTCTTGCATTAACATGGGCAATAAAACATACAACTTTCTTGCGAACTCAAGTATTTCATCGATTTTTGCTGAATGTGGACGGCCAAATCGAGTCCAACAACTCCAAATTTCGTCTACTTGACCCTGACCGGTCACTTAGTCATGAACAACCACTGGCATCATCATCACCCAAGAGCCTGAGTGGAGTTTCTACTACAAGATCAACAAATAAACCCAAACCCAACAAAAAGCCTAGTACTAGAGCAAAACAAACTGACAGTCCTTGTTGGAACTGGCGTTCCATATAGTGCGATTAGTGAGCATTAGCCGTCGACAGAGGGCGCGCCTCACACCTTTACTCCCATGCGCCATGTGAGTCGCTATCTTTGTCAGTTTGGACATGTTGAAAATAAAAGGGGTTTTTAAACGGAAAATTGTTGCTATACTTCGTTAAGTTGGCAGTAATATTTCTCAGAATTATATGATAAAGGGTTCAGATCCGGGAGATTCAAAGTTGCAGAATTAAACTGGGTATAATCTGTCCCTTTTATAGAAAGATTTATTGCTCTT